TAACCCAAGTAATTGGAAATGTGGAAGATATGCCTACTGGAAAAACCACTATTTGGAAAGAAAGCGGATATGTAGCAATCCAGTTACGGACGATGAAAATATCATTCAGGTATGTCTCAGATTCAACATCCATGTACTTCATCTGATAATATCAATTTTCTGATTTGAATGAACTTCGATTAATATGTGATGTTGAGTTGCAGATCCAAAAAGCAGTGTTCGATACTTGCCATTCAATCGGAGAAAACGACCCAGTCAAGACGAACTGAACAGAAGATCCGCAAAGAGACCTGACCACAGTATACTTTACAGAATTCAGATCATTATAGTCGTACGGAAGGCGATATATTGATTACCTTTCCAGATTCTCTAGCAGACAGATAGACAGATATTCAGCTTTATGTCTCTATGGAAACACGACAGGTACCCTTACGAGGAGAGAGTATCAACTCGGCGTTTATAAACCCTCTCTGCAAAGGAGGTAGACGCATGGTGGGTTAGGTATATACAGTGTTCTTCATTACAGAGAAAATTGTTGTTTATCTGCCTGCCTCGTCTTCATTGAGATAGTTGATGAATTGATGAATTACAAAAATATATCGCGTTCCAGTCACGAATGTTGAAACCAATATCCAATATTCTATGTAGGTCTCACGATTCAAATTTGAAATTGATCTTTAGTTTTAGATCCGAGCAGCACATCGTTCGGCCTTTAAGGTCCTTGACCCACGTATGCAATTGAAAATGTGGAAGATGCCTACTGGAAAAACAATATTCGCAAATAAAGCGGATATGTAGCAATGCAGTTACGGAAGTTGAATATATTATTCAGGTATCTCTCAGATTCAACATCCATGTAATTCTTCTAATGATATTTATTTTCTGATATGAATGTACTTCGATTGATATTCGATTTTCTGTTGCAGATCAGAGGAGCAGTATTTGATACTTACCACTCAATCGGAGAAAACCATCCAGTCAAGACGAACCGAACAGAAGATTCACAAAGTGAACTGACCAGAGTATGCTTATGGTGACTAGTTATGTTATATACTTGGAATTTTCGGGTAAGAAGGAAATGATGACAGAGTACATTCAAACAACTCATGAGGACCAATTCCACGAAGCCGACTACAGTAGCATTCTTTCAGAGATTTCATCAAGAATCATACCAAATGATGTTTCGAATACTATTAGAAGATCGATAGACTTGAGGAATTGTGCGAAATTCTGATCGTCTTTGATGAAAATAATAAAAAATATGATTCTTTGGAAGCAAGACTCGATATTTTCGACAAACATTGTGTGAAAGTTCAACATTTCCAAACAATATCATGCCTCATGACATCATCTCAGAAGACACATCAACTGGACATTCCAAGAAAGGGCAAGAATCAATTGAATCAATTAACCTACCAACTTTCTGGAAACATGAGTCTACATTATGGTTTAATGTTGCTGAATCGATTTTTGAAACTCACGGAATAACTTCACAGAGAAATAAATTTGGGAAAGTGATTTCAATGTTGGACTGCAATATTGCGCTCTGGGTTGGTTTTGTAGGTCTCTCTGTATATGTTTTTTCATAATATCCATTCATCTCAAACACACTGTATTTTTTAAATATTCAACGATAAGATTTTAATGTGCTGCTGGTTTTTCTGCTCACCCTGTAATAAATTATAATATTCCATTTGGTACAAGATATTTGATCTGCCTCTGGAATTCAGCTCGCCCTGTATATGATATTTCTGATATTCATTCAGCTCAAACGCACTGAGTATTTTCTCAATTTCCATCAATAAGATTTTGATCTGTCTCTGATTCTTCAGGTCACCCTGTGATAAATTATAATATTCCATTTGGTTCAATATATTCTATCTGCCTCTGGTTTTGTAGGTCGCTCTGTATATGTTTTTGCTGATATTCATTCGTCTCGAACACACTGTATATTTTTTGTGGGTATGTGAAGCAATCTCTCACAAGATAGCCAAATATTTCGAACCAAATTGTGGGTCTCTGAAGTTTTTTATGAAAATATCACGAAAACTGCATTGGCTCCAGATCTCACTTCTAGTGGTATCCAAATAACCACTTTTCAGAACTGCACTTTTAACATTAGTTCATATAATTATTACTTTACCACAAATTGAAAATATGTAGGAAGCAAGAGTGAAAATAACGTGCCCATAAGTTATACTGTATACCTACTCCTTTGTTACTTTCATCAATAAATTATTTGGAAATGACTTTTTATCTAAGGGAGACGTAAAAATCATATGTATAACATGGGAGTAAAGTATATTCTATTCTTCATTTTCCTGCAAATTCACGTATTACTTTTTATAAGCCTACTTTTCGTCCTAGAATTGTCACTCCATAGATTTCCCTCCGAGTTGGATTTCCGAAAATATATTTAGCACACATGACATGAGTTAAACTAATGATGGTGTGCGCATTCGGCCATCATTACATATTGAAAATTTCAGAAAAATCACTCGACCGGCCTACTATGATTTCTCTACGTCACAACGAGCGAGACGTTGATTCTACATTTTCATGCTAGATGGTGATGCTATTGCTGCTGTGACGAGTGGAAATAAAATGGCAAATGCCATTTAAGGTACGCGGAACATATGTAACAGTGGGATTAAACAACTCTGGATTCGAAAAATCTGCGACAATTTCAAAACTGACAGAAGTCATAATGGTGCTCTCGCTGCTCTCGGGAGGTCGAGTAAAATTTCTGAAACAAAAGCGCATCAGTAATTACACCATATCTTACTTTCATCATTGTTAAACTACTGCTCAGCTTGAAATCAGAATTCAGTCAATTCAGTCAACCCTGGCAGAGATAAGTTAGTGTAACTTATCTCTGACCCTGGTATACAGTCTAAGAACAGTCTCTTTTGGTGAAATATATTAAGCCTTTAGTACAAATCATATGTTCCCTACCTCGCAAAGATTATGCTGGAGTAGAAAACTCTAAAACTAGAGGATTGTTCAACTATATATCTTGGTTCAACTATATCTTGGTATAGTTGAGGAATTCTATATGGAAATTACGTATGCTACGCCAATGACCTCAATATAACCTAAAAAAACAACAACAATTTTCACAAACACTTTAGAGTGAGAGGAGACGAGGGAGGATCTGTCCGTACCCCGTTAAGATGACTTTAACGTCAATTTCCATCAAGGGACCCCAAGTAAAGGTGGTTAAAGTTGAACTTCCATAATTTGTTTACAGTTGATGAATGTGAAAAATGAAGGATATAATGGGAACATTCAAATAATACATGAATGAAGTGGATATCGTAGTATAGATACATGTGAAAACTCTGTGGTAGTGGGTAAAGTCAGAGATTGTAAAGTGAAAGAAATAGTTAATGCTGACGTCATTATGACGTAGGTGCCTCTCACCAACTTCACCTAACCAGGTTTAACGGGGAATGTGAATGAAATATCCCTCAACGTTTTATAGTCTTCTGCGCACCCAATAAAATTCAGATGCCACGAGTCGGCCAGAGCAATGACGGCTAAATATGTGGACTGTCTGACGAGTACTCGTCAGACAGTTCACATATTTAGCCGCCATTGGCCAGAGCATGGATACAAAATTTTAGTGGAATAACATAACTGGTTCTTAGAGCATTAAACACTGTGCCCAAACCGTCGTCCACAATTTCTTAAGCGGCATTCACAACCAAACTCTTAACGTTTTGCTTTTTACGCTGCGTTTTCTGATTGGTGAAGCAGAATCTGAAATTGAACGTGAATTAAACTTATGCAAATGTCATTCACAAAAAAAATCATATTGACTTTTTACGGCTTTTCTCAGTTGTCTTGGTTTTGTCATTTGTGTTTCCTGAAATGAAGTTAAATAATCATTATATTGATTAGATAATAAATAATATTCATAGAACTGGCGGTGACTTACATTGATCCGTATTCAATACTTTAAGAGAAAAATCAATCTTAAAGAAGAAAGTGATATATTGAACACTATACCTATCTAATATTCCGTGGATTCACGAAAAAATCATGAGCAAAAACATTATCATAACTTTATTCATATACATATTATAATGTTACATACATGTATTGTTTTATCAGAACTAACATTAGTATTTTGCATTTTTATAACAATTTTATTTGTCTATTTTACTTTTTTTTTTTTCACAGACGATGCAACGCAAAAGCTGAATATTTTCAGCTTTTTGCGTCATTTCAATTACAGATTTTGCTTCACCAATCAGAATACAAAACGTAAAAAGTTTGGTTGTGAACACCGCTTTACGTTTCGTCGTATTCTGATTGGTGAAGCAAAATCTGGAGATAAAATGACGCAAAATACTGAAAATATTCAGCTTTTTGCGTTGCAATAAAATATGCCATCATCTGTGAAAATTACGAAAATAGACAAATATCCTATTTACTTGTGAATCCAGATGGAATAGTAGATGATGTTCAATTCCCTATTTTCATCTTCACATGAATATCCATCAATATTCAGATACAATAATTATTGTTATGATTATTTCATTTTAATCTAGGAGTCCTAAAACTAACATTAACGTTTTTTTTTCGTTGAGATTGAATTCCGCTTCAGAGTTTAATTCACGTCTAATTTCTGATTCTGCTTCACCAATCAGAATACGAAACGTAAAAAGCAAAACGTAAAAAGTTTGGTTGTGAACGGCGCTTAAGACCTTGATGGATCACAAAACATCATCTTCGAAGAACGCAGGAAGTATACATGCGTATGCGGCTTAAAGTATTTAGTGTATAAATGATCTAAGGATCGAAGGTAACGGAGATTGGCGATCTGAGGCGCGAGCGCGTCTCATTTTGAAAATAACTGGATGCAATTTTATTTTAGTGTTCGTTCAGCATCTTTGCGGTCCTAACAACGATAAAGTTCCCATATATTCCAAAGGATTTGTCAATATTTTATAACTTTTGATCTCACGATGATGGCCTCAGCATTGTATTTGTACCTTATTATATTATTCTTCTTTCTGGATTATTAATACCTAGTTGTTGATCGTTTTCTCAAATAGTGGTGAGTAATTATTTTAGTTTTTCTTGTTGAACTCTATACATATCATCTATACACCTTCATCAATTACAACTTCCACAAAGTTTAGCGTTCATCATCATTTCGTTTTCGATAAAAATGTTGACAAAAATATAGGATCAGTTAATACACATCATGGCTTTCGTAAAGTATTGGTATTGAATAAATTAATATTCAGTCAAACTATTCATTTCTGAAGGATCTCTCATTTTCAATTTTACACATTTATATAGTGGAAAATTAGATATACAGGGTGATCCACCTTTGTGTTACGACAACCGCGACCATTTTTTCGAATGGAACGTATACACCCTATATATACCCATATATTGATTGGTTTTTTTAAATCAGCATGGAAAACTGAATTCAACAATGTGTAACGCATAGGGTGTAACACATAGGGTTTGTATACAGTGTGTCCGTTGAATTGAGTCCTCTCATAAAGTATATAATGGATAATTTCATGTTTATCTTGTAACCTCGTCGAAAGCAAACGCTTGGGTTGGGCTATTAACCTCTGATCAATGCTTACAAATGTTTCAGGCAAACTTTGAAGTTCATAATATCTTCCAAAATATTTTTTTTATTCAAAAATGTATTCTTTCATATCGATTTGTTCTTTCGTCTGCTATTCTCCATTTCATTGATCGCCCCAATTTCGGAAACACCCAGTATCTACACCATTCAAAGTTCCTACAGCATCTCTGTTGTGGAATCAAATCATAGGGATTGTTGAAAGAACCAGAACTTTGAAGAGTCGTTTTCACTTTGTGATACATGTTCAAAAGATAATTTCAACGCAAATATAAAATATAATGAAGAAATATGCATAATAATTTTTTTACGCCGGCGAAAGTAGAAATTAGTTTCTCTGGTAGCAAAAGAGTGGCAGAAGTCTCGTATTATTTCCCAGGGATATAATGTGACACATTTTCTCCCTAAGGAGTTTATACCAACTTTAAATTTTCTGCATAGCTCTGCGCTTTCTTTTCCGAACATCCTTCTCTGAAGCGAGTATAAGCTGCATCATACAGATTTCTAGATCTCACTGGTTAAGAAACACTGCAGAAGCAGTATCAATATAGTTTCTTGGGGTTTTCCATCGATTTCTTGTTCCATAATCATTTTCGAAGCTGTTTACATAAATTTCAGTTTGATATTTGCTGTCACCATGTGTTGTCAACAAGATGCATGTTGTCAAGATACGAATTCCACAAACTATACTACTTACTACTAATTATGACAAAAACCTTCGACAAAATTTTTATTCTCTCTTAATTTTTGTGTTTTCGCCAGCGAAAAAATATTATAATTATACACCTCAGGACAGTGTGCTATTTTTTCCTTATTGGTGCTTTGTATCTTTTGGGCTTCGCCCTGGAGCTACAAATCGCAACTTGGAATTCTGTCCCATGATATATTTTTTTTATGTTCTGGTTCCCACAAATGTTCAGAGAACATCGTGAGAACCGATGGAAATAAGGAAGGAATTGGCGTTCTTCTTGAATTTCTGGAGGTTATATGCCTCGGGGAACATCTCCCTTGGCAATGTGTTCCAGAGCCTCGCTGTTCGTTGCACGAACGAGTCTTTGGAAAGGTGTCCAAAGTGACCACGAAGGGGTGCGAAGCCTCAACTCGACGTTTTAATCTCGCGGGGACTGCCAAGGAAGGAACAATTGTTGATATTTCATGAGAGCATCGTCTATGGAAATATCTATAAAATAAAGCCTGATCACCAACTTTTCTACGGTGTTCCAGAGAAGTGAGTGAGTTTGTGAGCGAGGCATCACCCACGAGACGAATTGCCCTTTTTTGGGCAGTTTCAGGGTATGTTTGGGAGCTGCACTCCAAATATGGGAACAGTATTCCAGGACAGGTCGGATCTGTGCCTTATAGATCATAAGCAGCTGACTGGGAGAGAAATATAGCTCCTGGCCCGAAACAGAAAACCAAGTTTTAGGGTTGCACTTTTAGTAATTGATCTCACGTGATTTTCCCAAGAAAGGTTATTGCTGATAGTAATCCCAAGCAGAGTCCCAAGCATCGATATGGATGTCTTCAAAGGTATGGTTACTCCTGACAAGCTTATGCTGGGCACAGTGAGATCGGCTTTTCGAAAGAAAAGGCATGCTTGTGTTTTGTTTGCATTGAAGTTATTGGATCCCCATTCGAGAATTGTTGCCAAGTCTATATTTATGTTGTCAACATTTTTTCTCCCTCGTTCGTTTCTGATTTGCCTGGCTGGTATTGGGGCCCTGGAAGAGAAGGCGATATGGAGGGTACTATCATCCGCGAAGCTGTGTACTGGACATGAAGTTGCTTTCAACAAATCGTTGATGAGTTGAAATAGTGTTGGTGCTAGAATTGATCCATGCGGAACACCAGCATTTATGATAAGATAGTCAGATGAAACTCCGTCGACCACTACATGGAGAGACCTGTTCAGCTGGGGAGGCAAGCCATAATATGGAAGCTTGGCGAGGAGTATAATGTACTTACTATTATGCGAAAGCGTCCTTCTGTTTTTTTTTTTATCGCTTGGAGCGCACGAAAGGGACTCCCTATAATGTTCAAAGAACATCGTGCGTTCCTGGGGAGGATAGGGACAGGAGGTAGGTATTGGAATTTTTTTTGAACTCTTGGAGATTATATGTTGTTGGGAATACTTCTACAGGCAATGAATTCCAGAGCCTAGCCGTCCTATGGATGAAAGAGTCTTGATAAAGTGCTGTTCGATATCTTTCGAGGTTGACAACGAAACGATGTGCTGACTGGGCTTGTCTAGTTCGTCTGATTGGTATTGCTAGTGAAGGGATGATAGCAGAGATTTCCGAAGAACATTTCCCGTGGAAGTATCGATAGAAAAGTGAAAGGTCGCCGACCTTTCTACGGTGTTCCAATGATGTCAAAGAGTGAGTGAGTGTGGCGTCACCCACCAGGCGAATGGCTCTTCTCTGGATGGAATCTAAGAGCATCAGCGTATGTTTTGGTGCTTAGTCGCCGAATTCAATTATTGACAAAAAAATATTTGCGATGATTTCAAATAACGAATGATATCCTCAAATACTATTTATACACGGAATGGTCAATATAAAAATAGTATGTGGCGTAAATTCGACTAATGTGTGTACCTACCATAACCCCATTAATCGAACAATTTCTAGTATTGAGTAGTTTATATCAACTGAAAATATGGAAAATGCAAGCTGGTTATAGGATATGTACAGCTAATTTCGATTTGTCGAAATGTTTCATCTGTGAATTCGAGCCTCTTCATTGAAATCTTGTAAACCGTAAGAGATACAGGGTGATGGGTTATTATTGAATTATGGAAAGTTGGGAAATTTCATACCTAACAAAATGCCGTTTTGAAAGTTGAATTACAAATACTTTCAAAGATTATTGGTAAAACCGAATATTCGCGATTAAAAAGGAATATTCTCAGATAAATTATGGACATACAAAAATGGATATATATTTCTATGAAGCAATACATTGAGAATTCGCATTCTCTATGTGATGAGAATATCTACTCTTCTTATTGAATTATATCTATTTCATAAATATATATCCATTTTTGTATGTCCATAATTTATCCGAGAATATTCCTTTTCAACACTTTCATGCCCAATCAGGGGATTCGCGATTAAATTTTCATTTTTTAAAACCCTTTATTAGCTTTTATTACCTGTATGTATTTAGGTAATCGACTCCTTTGGACTCAATTTTGACTCACTTTAAACGGACCGTTTTATTCGAAATTTGGCAGGTATAATTTCTGGTGGAAATGCATCATGAAATTCTTGTTAGACAAAAAAAAACAAAATGGCTGCTTCGAAATGGCGGACGAGTTTTGTAATTATGATTCGATTCTTTTCAAAATTGGTTCCTGGAGGTTTTCGAGGTCGGAAATTATGATTCGTTCGTTAAAATTGGAAAATTCAAGATGGCGGATCCAATATATGCCAGACCAGTTTTGTAATTATGAGCCGAACAAAAAAATATAAAATAAATGGGAGTTTGAAAAACTAAAGAGACACCCCTCAATAAACAGCCAAAATAAAAAGAAGTACAAAATAAAATAATCAATTAGAGTGTGTTGACAATATAGAGTACCTACTGATTATGGAGATATTTTCTATATTGTGTCATATTTATCTACACACTTGTATTAATAACTCATGGGTTCTGATGGAAAATGCCATGAATATGAATTTCCAGAATAAGTGTGATACACAGTTGGGAGATTGAAAGCTCTAAAAATCCATAAAAAAGTCTAGGGTCGTATTTGAAAAAACAAAGTTGATAATGGCAACTCAAAGACGAAACGTCGGTTTGAGAATCTGATAACAATATCTTGTCGAACAGAAAAAGTTGCAATGAGAATGTGTAATTTGGTTTGTTTCATCTAATCAAATAAAAAAAATGAAATCACGAATATACGTGTTTTCCAAAAATCTTTCTGGAAGTATTCGAAATTTTTCGAACTTCAAAATGACATTTTGTTACACACCAAAAATTGCCCACATTGTACATATACTACTAATGTTCTTTTCGAAAAGATAATGACTGTTGATATTTTTGGGACATCCTGTACACGATTTTCTAGAAGAGACGCACCTACACGTATATAGGTATATCAAGACACTATGAAAATACACAAGAACTTTGCTCCATTTTTCCATGAACAGCAAAATATATTTATTTAGCAATCATTTACTGTAATTTAGTAGTCATCCCGATAAATATTTATGATTTGAATGAGAGTCGTAAATCCGCGATGTTTTGTTCGAGCTTTTTTCAGTCTTCATAATTCAAATGTTTGTTGATACCTGCTCTAGTGCGGTATATACACAGTCGATCAGAGATGCGAACTGATGAGAGAAAGTTCTATACACTAAAACGAATTCCAGTCGAAGAAAAATTGCTATCGATATACTTAATTGATAGTGTATCGATTTGCGTCGCTCAATTTATATTAAATTATTAGTTAAAGTAGGTTACTATAATACCCATATAGCACACGATTACTTGATAAATAGTCTCAAGAAGACGTTCTATTTTCTTCATCCTAAAAATAATTCATGTTACTTACTTACGCACTTGATATTTGACCTATCTTCTTAAAAAAAAAGAGTAGGCTGATTTTTTTTTATTTGTTGGTAGGCAATGCATTTGTCTTTGAAAAAAATAAGGAGGTGAAAATTTTTCCAAATCCTCCTTGATGGTGGTGGAATAACTCGAACTATGATTTATTCTTAATTTTGGACTCACCCTGTGTGTTAATTGAGTAATGGTATACAAAGTGCTTACACCCTATACGAAAGAGGCTTCTTTTGCGAGCATTTTGTTTTTTATTCATTGATTTATCTCTAAAATTTTCCGAATTACAGCTTTTTTTGCTGATACCTTACGCTTGGTAGGATCACATTGTCTTTAAAAAAACAAATGCCGTTGCCGTAGCAACTAATTTGTTGTATGCCTCAATATTTGACCATTTGTCGTTGTGTCAATAATTAAGTGTCTTGTTTTATTGACTAAAATTACATAAAATGCTTCAAATAAATCCTGAACAAGTAGCAAGATTGGTTGCGTCAGTAAACGATGGGCGTAGTAAACGTTACGCCGCTCGTGCAGTAGGAGTTCATGAAGCAACTGCTCGTAGAGCAATCCGCAAGTACGAACAAACAGGAAGCACCGCTCGGAGGGTCGGTTCTGGTCGATCCGAAAAACTTCTCCAAGAGATGATCGCTTCTTGAGATTGCGGATTTTACGGAATCGATCAAATACTGGGATAAATGTTCAGCAAGATCTTCGCCAAATTCGTGATGTTGCAGTAAGTAAGCAGACGGTATGTAGACGTCTAAAAGAAGTTAATTTAAAAGCTAGGAGACCTGTAAAAGGTCCCAAATTATTACCCGGACATCGTGCTGCTAGAAGAAATTTTGTTGAAAATTATGGACAGTGGAATATTCCTGAATGGTCGAATGTCTTGTTTACGGATGAGTCAAAGTTTTGCCTTAACATGGTGGATGGAATAAAAAGAATGTGGAGAAGAACTGGTGAACGGTTTGATCAAAATTTAATAACAGAATGCGAAAGTTTTAATGGTGGGTCCGTCATGGTGTGGGGAGGGATTTCAATGAATGGAAAGACACCCCTTCATGTTTTTCCGGTGAGGCAGTCGATGAATGCCCAAATTTACATTGACATTTTAGAGCAGTATGTCTTACTTTATGCAGAGTTAGTGGGCAATAATTTTATATTGATGCAGGATAATGCCCGACCACACACCGCCGCAATAGTGCGAAACTTCTTTAGAAGCTACTGGTATTACCACATTAAAATGGCCTGCGAGAAGCCCCGATATGAATCCTATAGAACATTTGTGGGATGAATTAGGGAGAAGGGTACGTTCTCGCGAGAGGTATCCGGAAAGTCTCGCAGAAATAGCAGATGCATTAGTGGAAGAATGGGATCGTATACCAATGGAAACGATAAGCAACTTAATTTCCAGTATGCCTCGTAGATTAGAGGTTCTTAGAGTTGCTAGAGGAGGTAATACACGGTATCAGCCATCCCAATTCATAATTTTGTGTTCAATAAAAATGTTTTTTAAAATTATTGGCATCAGTTTATTTCATTAGAAAATTGTTTCTCGATAAATTCAGCAAAAAAAGCTGTAATTCGGAAAATTTCAGAGATAAATCAATGAATAAAGAAACGAAGCCTTTTTCGTATAGGATGCAAGCACTGTCTATGCCATTACTCAATTAACACACAGGGTAAGTCAAAAATTAAGAATAAATCATGGTTCGAGTTATTCCACCACCATCAAGGAGGCTTTGAAAAAAATTTTCACCTCTTTATTTTTTCCAAAGACAAATGCATTACCTACCAACAAATAATAAAAAAAATCGGTCTACTATTTTGTTTTTTTTTAAGAAGATAGGTCAAATATCAAGTGCGTCACTTTTTTTGGAACTGAGTGTAGTAGGATAAACCAGATGATTTGCGCCAAAATGTCAACGCGTTTGACACATTTTTTTCCAGCAACAGTCCGGGAAGTGCTCACTACACTACACAGCGGAGTTCGAATTTTTCTCCTGGTATCAAGACGCATAATATTGAATTCCTGCCTTATGAGTTATAAGAATTATAACCCGGGTACTGGTTATACTTTTTCCTATAGAGAAAGCACATGAATTTGTTCTGAATTGTTTCAATCCTGGAGGAAAGTACAAGTGTCCCACGGGCCCAAACTAATGAGGCAAACTCCAATTTCGATCTAACAAGACTGCAAAAAAGAATTTTTTCTGCGACCGACACAATAGTCGTCCATTTTGATACCAAAATTAGCTCTTAAATTGACGTTTCTATTACTGACACAAAAATAGGTATGTTGCTAGGCAACATATTTAGTTCCTAGGAGCTAAAGTTCAACTTTAGCTCCTAGGAACTAAAAAGGATCTACTGGACGTCATCAAGAATAAACAACATTATGACGGTTGGTTATTTGGGTTGAGACGTATACCTGATTTGTTTCCGATTTCAGCAGATTTGGCATTTCATACCCATGCTGAAAATATAAATACACCTTATTATAGTTTAGTATTGGAATTATAAACATCTCAGTTAAGTATTTTCGTTTTGATCAGGGAAGCCTTCAAGATTCAAATACTTGTAGATTGTAGATGGGTCGTATAGGCTGAGAGACCTCTCGATCACTGCGACTTAGAAGATTTATTGTGATTATTCAAATACTTGCTTGATCTGTATTTCATTCGTTATTCTCGGGATGGATAACTTGTTTTTGAATAATCACGGCAGGCAAGCAATAGTTTTTTTTGTCTCAAACAACGATATTGTTTAGCTTCATTTGATTATCAAGTCAAACACAGTGTAGTATGCCAGTATGGAGAGGAATAAATAATCACTATTATCATTGTTGAGATGCTCACTAATCTAATATTTTCCACGTCTTGTTCCTATAGCTGGCACTGGCGCGGTATTTACCATTAGAGCACCTGGTCCATACACAAATATGTCACTCTGTGGTTGTATTTATATTGAGACTACAATTCGAACATCCTAGAAAACCTAACCTGCTGTTAATGCAGGTAGACTATTCTCACCACATGGATTATTTGTCAATATTTGTTGCATTGCATACATGGCACGGCATTGGTGGTTACTTCACATGTTTATTTGAGTTGATTGTTTCGGTTGTAGAAAAAATAGCATGTTTCAATCGGATCAAAAGTGACTTTGTTTGACAAGCGAATTTTGCATTTGCGAGGCGGAGCGTTCTACTATTTCCCGTATATGGTGTGTGAATTCGGTACTCAGGAAACCCAGTGTTCTATAAGCTGATTTCACCATTCGGTCTATATGTTCTCCAAAATTCAGAGTAGAATTAAAAACAACCCCAAGATCTGTATGTGAATTTTTTTAATACCTTGGTGTATAAATAACTATTAACACATGATTATGTATAAAATAGTCTCCAAAAATTCACTTTATTAATATCCCATGCATTTGGAGATCATTCATTTCAAATACTTTTCTAAATATTTTCCAATATTTTTACTTATTTTCACAGTCACATAAAAGAATATAAGCAGAAATTCATCATGAAAAAAACGAGCATTCCTTGCATTCCATCAGAATCTAGTCACATCAAAGCAATTGTTTATTTTCCTTTTACACGTTCATTTATTTGGATTGTGTTCGTTTCATTATAGATCCACATCTCTGTGTGACGGACCTGCATATTTCCGAAATCATGAAAAATTCGACGGAGGACGAAGTCATATCAGCCGCCGCCATTTATGACAGCTACTTGGAGGAAGATTACGTAGTCATGGGCCTCTACGTAGTCGTTTTTCTTTTGGCATTTACCGCCAACATCGGTGTCATAATCGTCGTCTTCAAAGATAATTATATGAGGAGGTGAGTGGCTCGCTATATCTTATTTTTTCGTCGAAAAATCACATTTTAAGTTCTAATTTCTGAAGGAAAGACCGACCATATCCGAAAGCAAGTACTTTTCGTCCACAGACACATTTTTCAGTAGATATCCAGATTTGCATTTACATCTACTGATCTACTGGCACATTTTATAACCTACTGAAAAATATTTTGACACTTATTTATTATTATGAATACCAGTGGCGGCTCCTCAGAGGAGGCAACGGAGGCTGAGCCTTCCCAGAGATTCTCCTTAAATTGATATTTTCTATACTTTCTCATCAAAAGGACACCAAAATACATGGATTTTGATTTTATTTCCTGTTTTCAGGTAAATATTTTTGAATTGGCAACAGTACTTGCCCACGCATCACACGTTGAAGTCTCCAATTCACGCGTAAAATATTCAACTTGGCAACGTCTATAGGAGGCTAGACTCCTTCACAAACGCAACCCACGCGCGCTATGCAAATGCCCGAATACGCCCGAATAGCACGTGTTTGTGCGCGAGTGCATTGTTTATGTTTATGTAAGGTTAATGGTTAGGAGCTCTATAAATTTGCGATTTAGTGGAATACTTTTTGGTGAACCCATTCAGTGCTTTGTCTTATGAATATAAATCGATTGTGAAAAACAAACGTCTGAGACCGGAATTAAAAAATCTGATTGTAACAGGTAACAAACAAAATCGTCCGTTCGATTCTGATAATTATAACAAAAATACTGACGGGATCGGAGGTAAGGAATAAACAATTTTGTTGGTACTGCGTATTATTTTCAACCGGTAAGTCATCATGTTGGGGGCGATTAGGATATAATGATTTGAAAAATTTGCCTCGCGGATTGGATAGAGACTGCAAATCACAGGAACACATCTCCTCAAGTATTAAGTTCATGTTAACTGGTAAACATAATGTCATTAAAGCTATTGATTTGGGTGAGTCGTAGAGAGTCGTTTTTCAAAATAAATCTCATATCATTCAGCCTCCTCTGTCATGAAAGTCACGAGCCGCCACTGATAAATACTTATATTATCATTAATCTTTAGTTAATCACATATACTAATAAATTGCATATTTCCGCACGCTCTGTTTACATTAATTCTACAAAATGACTTACATATTATACTACTAACTAATAATATGTATAAACCAGAAAAGGACAATTTTTTTATTGATTCAGATCATATTCAATTTTGTATGTACCTCTGCTATAACGGTTTCTTCCTTTTACGTTTAATTTTTTTATTTGTTTTATATTCTTGTTGTTCATTTTTACTATTCGTTCCTGTTTTCAATATACTCAAATCATATAAGTATTTTGTGATATTTGCGAGTATTTTGCTATAGTATAATTGCGTGTCGTCCGCATATATTCGTGAGTCTGAGTATACAATATAAATAGTAAGGGTCCCAGATTAGAGCCCTGAGGCACTCCACATTTGATTGCTGATTCCTCAGATAAAATATTCCCCAGCTTGACATATTGATGTCTGTCTTGAAATACTATAGAAATTATCTCTGTAACCTGATCAGAACTACAAAAACGATTAGTATGAATCTAAAATAGTTGAATCTGAAAATAACTATAAAAAAATCTTGGAGAATATAAATAATTAACTAATGATAATCAACATTATAGTTCACAGTTCCACATACTTGATGATAATGGAAGAGAATGTCGTACGGATGAAAAAATAGCGAATGAATTCAATTATTACTTCATAAATGTAGGTAAAAATATGTCAAATCAGATAATGAAACCAACATCTCCTGCTACAGAAAAAGATAAAGTCATGAAAAATTCGATATTTCTTCACCCGGTGACAGAAAATGAAATTCATAATATAATTTCTACATTAAAATCTAACTTCTCACCTGGCCCTGATAAAATCTCGGTATCCTTCATGAAAAAACATCATCCCAATTTTCTAAAACCATTATGTCTTATATTAAATTCAGTTTTTGTTTCTGGAAAAATACCTTCTGCATTTAAACCCAGTTTACAAATCTGGAGACAAACAAAAAACGAACAACTATAGGCCCATAACAGTTCAATAACTTTGCTAAAATATTTGAGAAATGTTTGAAAAGCAAAATAGTACATTTTTGTGACAACAATAGTATTCTTTCTGATTCTCAGTATGGTTTCAGAGCGAATTTATCAACTGAACATGCCATGTTTGAATTAACAAACAACATATTCAATTGTTTCCAGGATCAAAAGAAATGCCTAACCATATTTTTAGACCTAGCCAAGGCTTTTGATACCGTTAACCACGATATACTCTTTCGGCGGTTGGAAAATGTTGGAATAAGAGGCGTTTCTTTGAAAATTTTGAAAGATTATTTATCAAATAGTGACCCACTGCCTGTTACTATGGGTGTACCTCAGGGAACAGTTATGGGTCCTATTTTATTCCTGCTTTACGTAAATAACATTTTCAAAATAAGTAATTCCAAAGGTGAACTAATATCTTACGCAGATGATACAGCTGTGGTATTTGTGGGTGATACATGGAATGAAGTATACGAAAATGCAGAAATCGGTATGAAACTAATTTAAATCTGGCTAAGTAATAATCTATTGAGCCTCAATGTAGAAAAAACGAAGTTTATAGCTTTCTCAAACCTTTCTCAAAATCCACAAATCTTCATGTACAGAAATTCCAAACTGCTTCTGTTCACAAATAAATATAACTGAATCGATCAAGTATTTAGGTATAATGATTGACCAAAATCTACGTTGGAACAATCATATAGATTACACAGTGAAAAGACTCCGGAATTTAATTTACAAATTTTATCAACTTCGAAATATTCTGAGAAGAGATGTGATGTTGACGGTTTATAAGGCCTTGGCTGAGTCTATAATACGCTATTGTATTATTGCCTGCGGTGGATTATTCAATACGTCACTGTATAATTTGGATATTATTCAAAATACTCTCGATAACATCAGAATCCAATATGGCGGATTTCCGGTTTTTGTGGAAATGCCAGCTATTTGGTGACCGCGATAGGTATTTGCATGATCCCCCTTGTGAAACTAAATTATAGGGAAATGTCCCAAAAAATCATGATAAACTTTCGATTTCTTATAGGAGATCTCTAATGTATTGACTATGTTTCATTGTTGCCGAGTAACTTTTTAACTAACTGGAATTATCAATCGCTAGTTCTTCCAAAAATATCCCAGTAGCAATTTTTCAATCAATCATCAATCATCTCTCAAATACGTACGAACTAAACAATGAATATTTTTCGCATGAATGAAATAAACATGAAAGAAACAGATTGGAGAATTCCTGACAAACTAATAATACTCAGATATAAGTATTGTTAGCAGAATGTCTTTATTAATTTTTCACCTTTCCCGTTTGAAACTATATGGCCTCGAATGAGACCATTTATTATTATGACTTTTCTTGACAAAATAAGCGTGGAAGTATTGAACAGCGTGGGTCGCCTCAGCAACAGAGAAATGAAAACTCATATTGCTCATATACAGGGTGTTTCGAAATTCGAGTGACAATACTTGACAGGTGATATAATTACTGAGATAGGGACATACGGTCTTTAAGTGTTTAGTTCTCGAGATACATACTAGAGTGTTCAAGTTTGAAGTTATGAAATACTTTTTTTTTTTCGGCAACCGTCCTAGAAGTATCACATCGTTGTTGTCACTGTAACTATGAAAATATTGATAGATGATAGACAATACGGCTTTCGCCACCGAAGATCTACTGGAAATCTACTTGCCTACGTCACCCACTTATGGCAAGCTTCATTAGAAAAACACGGGGAATCTCTAGAAAAACACGGGGAATCTCTAGCTGTCGCAAAGCATTCGACCGTGTTTGGCACGAAGGACTCCTCCACAAACTACCATCATACGGCTTACCACCTCAGCTAAGTCATCTCTTATCGAGTTTTCTTTCCACAAGGATCAATTCTGGCACCAACATTATTCATTCTCCATATCAATGATCTGTTGGGAGTAACAACTTGCCCCATCCACAGCTTTGCAGATGATAGTACCATCCATACTGCGTTCTCTTCCAGAATTTCCATTTCTTCCCAGGAAACTAAGAACTCACGGCGCAGGCAGGGAAGTGCTGTCAATGAAGACCAAAACTCAAGCCTGCATTTTCTCTAGAAAGGCGGAACTCAGTATGCCCGATATTGTAATGTCTGGCACCACCATCCCCACCAAGCCCACCATATCTATGCTCGGTATTTCCATCAGCAACACTCTTTCATGGAATAATCATGTCAGATCCATCGCAGAAGCTGCTTCATAAAAACTCGGATTCTTGTTCCGTGGGAAAAGCTACTTTACACCTCAACAGCTTCTCATGATCTACAAAGCGCAGATACGGCCTGTTCTAGAATACTGTTCCCACATATGGGGTTCAGCACCAAAGCATACGCTGATGCTCTCAGATTCCATCCAGAGAAGAGCCATTCGCCTGGTGGGTGACGTCACACTCACTCACTCTTTGACATCGGAACACCGTAGAAAGGTCGGCGACCTTTCACTTTTCTATCGATACTTTCACGGGAAATGTTCTTCGGAAATATCTGCTATCATCCCTTCACTAGCAATACCAGTCAGACGAACTAGACAAGCCCAGTCAGCACATCCTTTCGTTGTCAACCTCGAAAGATGTCGAACAGCACTTCATCAAAACTCCTTCATCCATAGAACGGCTAGGCTCTGGAATTCATTGCCTGAGGAAGTATTCCCAACAACATATTATAATCTCCAGAAGTTCAAAAAAAATTCCAATACCTTCCTCCTGTCCCTATCCTCCCTAGGAACGCACGATGTTCTTTGAACATTATAGGGATTTTCTTTCGTGCGCTCCAAGCGATAAAAAAAATATGATTTCGATAGATGCAGACGATAATTACCATAGTAGTGAAATATCGGCTGGCAGCTATTTGACATGAAATTAGTTGACATTTTGATTTTTGAAA